TAAAATCACCTAAAATTACTTTATTTTGTGGCAGACGTTCCTGAAGAACAAAAAGCTCATCATAGATTATCACTGTATCAGGTGGACAATAAACTGAACATAGCCAGATACATGCCATTAATTTTTACTTTGCATGCGACAAACTCCAAAGTAGAATCAAAAGTCACTTCTGTAAAAGGGAGGTTTTGGTGGATGTACATGGCGACTCCGCCTCCACCCCTACCTTCACGATCCTTCCGACACAGATGGTAGTTCCTCAGCGAAACGACCTCGTCAGAGACGAATTGCGGTAAATGTGTTTCTTGGAGGACTATAATATCGGGAGCATAGGACGAGGCTAATAATTTAAGGTCATTTACTTTAGATCTAATACTTCGACAGTTCCATTGTATAATGGTTGACGGGAAGATTACGTTTTATGGGGTTTGGAAGTGCCTTGTTCACCAGTTTGAATTTTCTTTTTATGGGAGGGAGGCGCCTCCTCTCCCTCGCTTCCCGGGGACCTCTCACGGGATGGTTTGGAGACAGAAGCCTCCATGTCCTGCACCTCCTGGCGAGGGAGACGACTGACCGATTGCGATCTGCTTCTCTCTCGAGAAGCCGATCGCGAGCCAGACGAAGTCCTCACAGGAGTAACCCGGACGGGAATGTTGCACTCCGGACTGTGATTCGGTATCATCCTCCTTATGATGTTTATGCTGGGTCGATGCAGCCATTTGATCGACTAATTTAGTCAGTTGATAAACTTTAATATTTAATTTTTTGACAGTTTGTTTGAGTTCGGCAATTTCCTTATCCTTAGCTGCAAGCTGTTGACTGACATCACCTGTACTATGGGTGTTAGTTAGTGCTGCAGCATAGGAAGTATCAGGCTTGTGTGTCAAACTTTCAACTTTCCTCTTAGCTTCAGTATAACTAACTTCATGCTTTCTCATATATGCTAATGTCTCAGTCTCCTTCAGGATGCTGCACTCGGCAGATCCTGCCTGATGGAAACCACAGTTAGCACATTTAGATATCTGGCTAGTACATGTGATGGTGTCATGGGCTTCAGCACATTTACGACAGGTAAATTTAGCAGAGTCTTTATCAATACATCTTAATGAGGTGTGTCCGAATTTTTGACATCTATTACAATGCATTGGCTTTTGGACATAAGGTCTTACTTGAACACGCTCATAACCGACATTGACATACTCAGGAATTTTATTCAAGGCAAAGGTAAAAAAACACAGTCCAGTTTTCGTTCGCATATTCCCGTCCTTCTTGGTCATACAATGAACGTCCACTACGTCTTGGTCCTTCATGCTCTCGAGAATTTCACTTTCTTCCATCGTCCTCAAATCCCTGTGAAAGATTACTCCCTTACAGGTATTTGGGCCAATAGGAATAGTTACTTTAACTCGAAGATCATGAATTTGCGTCAGCTTAAGTAAATCCTTAATCTGGGAGTTGAATTGTACTTTAACAAAGAGGCTTTCATCTCGCAATTTTTTGACAAAATCAAAATCGCCGTCCACTTAACCATCAAGGACCTTTTTGATGATAAAGGGGTTCACGTTCAAAAGCGATTGATTTTCATTCACGCATTTTACATTCGCGAACCTCGCATTCTGGGTGGGGATTTTAAAAAGTGGTCGTCTCGTTTTGTCGTTAGCGGGGTTACCATTGTTCGTCGTCAGATTGGTCATAGAGGGGTCTTGAGTCGCCCCCCCTCCTTGAGGAGGAGAAAGGGTAGCCGGGGTATCACTCATACTGGGTATCGGACCAGGTCCGACCCCTTGTCTCACAAATGTTGTTCTGAAAGGATCAAAAACTTAACTTTTGGTATCAACCTAACAGCAATAGCTAAGAGAGTAAGGCAGTTAAACGTCCTCTACCCCCTCAGTGGAAGCCTGGCTGCGTTCTCCAGTACCACAGAGGGATCGAGTTATGTGTGGGACACCTCCTTACCGCCGAACTTGCCTAAGCGAAGGACGGTAATTCAATGCCCACCCCCCAAGCGAATACGGGAGTTCCGAGGAACTCCGGTAGGCTCAGGAAAGTCACATCATAAGGAAGAGAAATTAGAATCAAAGAAAAAGTGCGCCCAAATGACGCCTCAGCCTACTGGGCCTCCCTACCCAGGGGTCAAAGCCACAAGGGCTACCCTGAAGAGAGCTGCGGGTCTGAGGTGGGGTGCTGACTAGGCCTACTGCCTCGTGTCACCTGCAAAAACAAAGCACTGAAGGTGCTAGCAAAGCACTGTAATGATCTGGAATTACAGGATTTTACTTTATTTCATTTACATTAGAACACAGAAATAACAATATCAAACGAGACTAGAGGCCCCGGGCCCCAGGGTAGCTCTAATGGCACAAGATTTCGTGTTTATTACTTCTGTGTTAGGACAAGGTGTTCGCTCGAACAGAGTTTCGACCACGAGTGTCACCCAGTGGCCTATACGCGTGATTATATTTGGGTCATATTCCACTTGTTACCATCTTTACTCAAGGGTGGTAAGAAGTGGTATAGTAGCACTCCAATGGGTGCTAGGAACACATACACATACGTAAATATGCACACGTATGCATACACACACATACACATACACACAGATATATATATGTGTGTGTGATATGATATATATATATAACATATACGCACGTGCTATGCCCACTGTGAGTACTCCCTTGATTTTTGATTTTACACATAGATGGCTACACTTGTTCTAAGTCACCAATGAGCCAATTGCGATTACTGCCTGTCTCGCCCGTTTACCCTTTTCTTTCATTTACGAAATATTTTACGTTATCTTATGTTGCTGTTACTAATGTTAAAAAAACATTATGATAATTATAATATTCATAATAAAAATACCACCATCGACATTCATAGCACTAGTAAAAAATCCGTTTTTCTCGCCAATTCTACTAATTGACTCATTTGTGGCTAAGCACTAACAGAGCCATGGCAGACATTTCACAGGAAAATACAGACATTTCACAGGAAAATATTTTCCCCGGCGGTATTGGGATAGACACACACACACACACATATATATATATGTGTGTGTGTTTGGGTGTGTTCGTATATATATGTATATATATATGTGTGTGTGTATGTATATGTATATATATGTGTGTATATGTACATATATATACGTTTGTTTGTGTGTGTTTATATACTATTATATATATATATGTGTGTGTGTAGATATATGTATACATATATATATATATTATATATATACATGTTATATATTATATATTATATATATTATATTATATATATACATTATTATATTATATTATATATATATATATATATATATATATGTTTATATATTTATATGTATATATACATACATTAAATATATATATATATATATATATATATATATATATTTATATATTTATATGTATATATACATACATTAAATATATATATATATTTAATCATAGTATGTCTATGTGTGTGTATATATATGTTATATATATATATATTGCATGTATGCATATATATGCATATATTTATGTATATATACATACATTTTTTATATGTATATATATATATACATACACATATATACGTATAAACATATGTATATATATATATATATATATGCTTATATATAAATATATATATATATATGTGTGTGTGTGTGTATGTGTGCGCGCGCTTGTATATAGATAGATACATATTACATAGATTGTTCTTTAGTAATAAGGACCATATATCTGTATCAGTGGAGACATCACATGACGTATGTGAATCATCCTGAGAAGAGGCAACATTCATGGAAATCCCAATTCTTCCTAGTGGCAACACTGCTTGCAGGAATCCTAATGCCTTAGATTCTCTCGGGGAGTGCGCGAGGGCAGTGGTGCGCGAGGCTCGTGGATATTCTAGCCTTGGATTACAATATTTAAACATGAGGACGGGTTTCTAAGCTGGCAGGTAGGACTTTGCAATGCTGGGACGTTGTTTTCTCTCTTTCTCGCTCTTGCGCTCCCCTCCCCCCTCTCAAACACACACACTCCCTCTCTACATAATTTGAACGTGAAAACAACGTGTACTGAAGTGACACATTCTGCATACTCCTCACAAACCATGCCTTGTCTATACACCAGGAATCCTTCTCCATTATCTCGTGGAAGTAAACGTTCATTAAAAATGATAGTGAATGTTAAGTCAGCATTTGACCTTGAGGAGAGTCCGTTGGCAACAGGACGAGAGGCCACACCCTCCTCTCTTCCCTCGGCGCAGACTACATACGCACGTAAACACACAGCGTATACTGTCTACATACAGCATATGCATTGATTTATAGATTTAAATATTATGAATACACACCTTTATGTACACACATATATATTATCTATCTTTCTCTCTTCATCTCTCATAAACTCTCTCTAAGTCATCCTCGCCTCTCTCATTGTATATATTAAACATATACATATATATATATATTTTATATACATGTATTTATATACACACACACATATATATGTGTGTATGTATGTATGTATATATATATATATGTGTCTGTATACATATATATACACGAGTATGTGTGTCTATATATATGTATATATACTTGTATACACACACACAAATGTACATATATATGTGTTTGTTTGTGTGTATATACTATAATACACACACATATATAAATATATATGTTTGCGTGTGTATATATACTATGATATATATATACATATATACATATATACACACATACATATATATATATATATATATATATATATATATATATATGTGTGTGTGTGTGTGTGTGTGTACATAAACATAAAAAAGAAATAAAAAAATATATATACATAATATTATATATGTATATAAATGTATATACGTATATATAGTTATATGTTTATATTTATATACATATACATTTTTTAAAGAAAAAAAAATCATAACTATATTATATCTATGTACATATGTATATATATACATACACATATGTACGTATATATGTATACGTATATACAATACACACACACACATATATATATATACGTACATGCAATATATATAAGTCTCAATGGAGACATCACCTGACGTCTGTGAATCATCCTGAGAAGAGGCAACATTCATGGAAATCCCAATTCTTCCTAGTGGCAACACTGCTTGCAGGAATCCTGATGCCTTAGATTCTCTCGGAGAGTGCGCGAGGGCAGTAGTGCGCGAGGCTCGTGGATATTCTAGCCTTGGATTACAATATTTAAACATGAGGACGGGTTTCTAAGCTGGCAGGTAGGACTTTGCAATGCTGGGACCTTGTTTTCTCTCTTTTTCGCTCTTGCGCTCCCCTCCCCCCTCACAAACACACACTCCCTCTCTACATAATTTGAACGTGAAAACAACGGGTACCGAAGTGACACATTCTGCATACTCTTCACAAAGCATGCCTTCTT